GGTCAAGTAATTTCACTTTATAGTCATTCTGTTTACTTTTAAAAAGCTTGGTCTTTAATCCCATCAAATTCCAGAAATTGTTTTCTTATTATTTTCTCTTCTTTCAGGATCAGCTTTAGTACTTCAGCAGTTTATCATGTCCCTTTTGTAAATCCAAGATAAGAAAGCTTTTCAAACCATTTATTATTTGTATATCCTCTTTGATTACAGTATACAGACATCAGCTGGCTTCATTTCTAAATCCCTTGTATCATCCTTTTCCATGTCACTCTTATATTCTGGCATTTTAAAATCCTTTTTTAGACCCACAGCATCTTTTTTCATGTCACTTTTGCAATCTGGCATGTTTTTAAAAGTCTAAATCCACATTCAAATCAGCTCAGTCTCTGTTTATCTAATAAAATATATTCTTCTACATCCTCTTATAGGCATCCACTGCCGTGTGCAAAAAAAAAAAAAAAGGTTCAATCAGTCAATTTCAACTTCTCACGAAAAAAAAAAATCTTGCAAAGTTGGAATTGATTGAACTTTTTAGTCCCACCCAGTCTGCCGTTACTTACAAGATTGTCTGATATATATATATATAACAGACAATCTTGTAAGTAGTTTCTGAGTACATTGTTCCCAAACAGCTTTAATTTCTCTTACAGTCAAGTAGTATTGCTTTGTTGTATTAATGCAGTGATGGCGAACCTTTTAGAGACTGAGTGCCCAAACTGCAACCCAAAACCCACTTATGCATCGTCGGGTGCCGGGTGGGTGTGGCCCATTGGCTGGGTGTGGCCCATTGGCTGGGTATGGCTGCAGTGGTAACGGCAGACTGGGTGGGACTAAAAAATTCAATCAATCAATTCCAACTTTGCAAGATTTTTTTTTCCCCCATGAGAAGTTGAAATTGATTGATTGAACTTTTTTTTTTTTTTTTTTTTTTGCACACAGCTGTGGAGGCCTAAAGTGAAAAGGTTTTATAAAACCCAGCTGAAGGCCTAGGACTGGGGCGACAGCATGCGTGCCACAGAGAGGGCTCTGAGTGCCGCCTCTGGTACCCGTGCCATAGGTTCGCCACCACTGTACTAATGGGTCACTTTTACTTTAATTATACTTAATTCTCTCTGGTTCCTTCTAGTCAATCTTCAGAGTCCCTTCTTATGATCGGTTTATTTTCCAACCAGGAAAACTTTCCCACAGGAGTATTTCTTATAGTTAATTTCAAAATCTTCATGTGTTGTTTGTTTTTTTTAATTAAATACCTCTGAGGAAATATTCAAGTCCACCTACCCCTGACCTAGCCCCTTAACTTTCCACATTCTAGTCCTCCTCTTTTACAAAAATTTAAAGCTTTTCTTTTTAACCCTTAGACTTAAAAAGAGTGAATCCCGTATCTGAAGGCTCCGAACTTGCCTAGGCCAGTAGCTCCCCATCTTTTGGACACCAAGGACTGCTTCTGTGGAGAGAGGTTTTTCCATGGACTGGAGGGGGCGTAATTTTGTGTGCTGCCTGCATTCCACAGATGCAGTTTCGCTTATTTGTGCGGCCTGGTTTCTGACATGCCGTGGCCTGGTGCCGGTCCACGGACCAGGGGTCGGGGACCCGTGGCCTAGACAACATGTTCCCACTTCCTTGCTCCCAGAAGTGAAGATAACTACTGTATTTTGCAATCACCTTTTAGGGAGATTCTGCATGGAACAAATTTGTGGGTGATCCTTGTCTTCTCTTTGATTTGGAGGTGGTTCAGTCAGATTATAAAATGAAATGATTTAGTAATTTGGCATACCTGGTGGCCTACTGAATGCACATAAAATCAGTTGTATAGGTAATTTATAGACATAAGCTTGGAAACAAACATACACATATGTCTGCCCCACGTTCACAAAAATATATATATAGCATCTGTTAATGCTCAAGTGTAGCAGGCAATTAACAGGATGCAATATGAATCACAGTATAATTATTGTACTGCCTTGCATGATAAGTTCCAATTTTTCTATTTACCTTTCTGTAGAATCATAAAGTGTCCCGTGTTTTGTATAACACAAATCTGTTTAACTCAGGCATCATCTGATAGCAGTTCACTTTGTACAGCTCAGTTTGGACAAAGATAGGTCCCAGATTCAAACTTATGAACTGTTTTCTTCTGTCTCATTTTTACCAATTTTGATTGGACTTGTGAGATAGGGGGAATCACAATGGAATAGATGTAATTACTGTACTTAACAGCTGCCAATCCACTTGTTGTTCAGCCAGTATCATAGCATGCTTTGCAGTTCTTTGGAGGAAGCACATACATAATTTAAAATTATGGTCTGCTGGGATTTGCTTCTCTATTTGTTCAGTGAATTAAGTGTTCCCATTTGCAACCACTAACTGAATACTGTTGAAAAATATGCACATAAGTTAACTACTACTTTCTTTTTTTCCTGTAGGAATCTTGGCATCCACCGTTGTCCTGATTCTGTCACAACGATCGCTTTTCAAGTTTTACATGATCAGCTGTGCTTTTCTGCTAGCTGCAACGTCAGTGTTGGTGAACTATTACGCTTTTTTGCACATAAACTTCCACAGTGCCTATTATACAACACCTTTTGGAGTTCAGCTCCTTCCTCATAAAGGACCTTCCTTATGGATGGCACTCTCTGTCCTTCAGCTTGCCTTTGGGATTGGTTATGTCGCTCTCTTAAATATTGACTCCATATATTCTCAGCTAATCATCCTGGATTTATTGCTTCCCATCGTAGGCTTGATCTTTGATTTACCTTTACACTTCAGGCAGATTTTAGTCTTTGCATCAGGTTCCATTTTGACACTACACAGCCTAGCTATTTTATTTACTAAAATGAAATGGGTCTACTATTCCACAAGGTATGTCTATCTTCTCATAAGGCATATGTATCGCATTTACGGATTACAGTTGTTGCTGGAAGACACGTGGAAAAGGATTCGCTTTCCAGACGTGTTGCGGCTTTTTTGGTTATCGAGACTCGTAATCCAAGCTGCCGTGCTGCTTTACGTCATCAAGGCAACAGAAATGGATCCCAGCATGAAATTCTACACGATTACTTGGGACAATTTCTGGGAATTACTTTGCAGCCTTATCATCAGTGGATGCGATTCCACATTAACCGTGTTAGGCATGAGTGCTGTAATTTCATCTGTGGCTCATTATCTGGGGCTGGGTATTTTGGCCTTTATTGGCTCCACAGATGAGGACGACAGGAGGCTTGGTTTTGTGGCACCAGTCTTATTTTTTATTTTAGCCCTCCAGACTGGCTTAAGTGGGCTAAAGCCGGAGGAGAGATTGGTCCGCTTAAGTCGAAACATGTGCCTTTTGCTGACGGCAGTGCTGCATTTTATCCACGGGATGACTGACCCTGTGCTCATGTCCCTGAGTGCCTCCCACGTCTCCTCGCTTCGCAGACACTTCCCCGTGCTTTTTGTCTCCGCTTGCCTCTTCCTCCTTCCGATTTTGCTTAGCTATATCCTCTGGCATCACTATGCACTAAATACGTGGCTGTTTGCCGTGACAGCCTTCTGTGTGGAGCTCTGCCTCAAGGTTATTGTTTCTATCACTGTGTACGTACTGTTCATGATCGACGGCTACTATAATGTTTTGTGGGAGAAGCTGGATGATTATGTCTACTACGTTAGATCGACAGGCAATATCATTGAATTTGTATTTGGAGTAATAATGTTTGGCAACGGTGCTTACACCATGGTGTTTGAATCAGGAAGCAAAATCCGGGCTTGTATGATGTGTCTGCATGCCTACTTCAACATTTACCTGCAAGCGAAGAATGGCTGGAAAACGTTCATAAATCGCAGGACGGCTGTAAAGAAAATCAACTCTCTCCCGGAGGTCAAAGGGGAGCGATTGCGGGACATAGACGACGTGTGCGCAATCTGTTACCACGAGTTTACGACGTCCGCCCGCATTACGCCGTGCAACCATTACTTCCATGCGCTTTGCCTTCGGAAATGGCTCTACATCCAGGAGACCTGCCCAATGTGCCATCAGAAAGTTGACATTGACGAGAAGGAGAACCCCAATCTCTCCAACAACAATGCCTTCGTCGCCCCCGATGAAAATCCCGCCCAGGGAGAGGCAGCTGCTGCAGAAGACGAACTAAATAACGAGAGTATGGAAAGTGAGGAAGAGGCAGAGAGCTCGACTCAGTCTAGTGCCACAGTACCCGAGCAGCCCTCTCAGTACCAGCCCTGATCTTGTGCTCGAATTAAAACGGAAAATCCTGAACCCCATGGGTGTTCGCGGCGTTCAGCATTGGAATAAAAGCTTCCCTTCATCCACTAAGCACAAGAACGCGATGTGCAAAATGTTGAATCTGTGAATGAGTTGTCAGTTTACTGTGATGTGCTACTGTAAATATGGCTGGTATTACTGCTGGTCTCTTTTGCGACCACTTTGAAACTTTATGTACATTATTGTACATGGAATAAAATGTTTTCACCTATTTTTTTTAAGAAGTCGAACAAAACACTCCTTAATTAATATAAAATTATGGTGTGTATGTTATATCCAAAGCCTCTCACATTTTGATAGTTTAAAAGCCAGTGGCTTTTAAGATAAACATGGAGTGCCATAAAGAGGGACATTTCAATCCCTCTTCATTTCAATCCTGGACAAAAGTTAAAAAATATTCTGTTTGAAATCATAACACAACATCATTCCCAGCTTGATAGCTGAAAATGAAAAGTTTAGGTTTCCATAAAAGATACCATTTGCTTCTAGTATTTGTTTATAGAGGAAAACAAACTTGGGGAATGAAGGAAATACATTTATTTACGGAACTCTATGACAATTCTTTTGGGCAGAAATCTGGTTACTGTGCAGTTACACAATAAAATTATCTGAATTACAAGGAAAGAAAAACATTTCTAAAATGCCAGAAAATTCACAATAAAAGTGAGGATTTCCACACACATTTTTTACCAAACCATCCTGTATGGCAAACATACTTTTAAATAATGATTTCAGAATTAGGGAGTTAGATTATTTAGATTACTTTATTTTATGAACAGAATTAACTGGATTTACATATCTGGAAAGAAAGTTTTAATAGTGTTGTTATACATAATATTGGCCAGTTCTAATGGCTCCTCTTCACGAACTGCTGCTAGTATTTCCAGTATCTGGCTACAATGAAACAAACAAAATGTAGAAAAAAATTAATTTACAAAAATTCATGACAACTTTTGATAAAACTGCATGAAAGATATGTAAGCCATATCTGTGATTTTTTTTAAAAAAAAATATTAGTTTTGGAGTTTCATTCATTAAATGGCACGCTAAATGATGATTTAACAAAACAGCAATGAATCTAGCCTAACTTGTATGCTTCTCAGTCTCCTTATGACTGGGAAAGGGCTGGAAGCTTTGGTTATGACCAAAGCCTGGAATGGTGGGTAATAGTGTTTCATTTAAAAGCATGTTTTATTGAGCCAATTGAAGCAATTAAGGTTAGCCTGAATTTGTGGGGTTGATACAACAGCAGTTTAATACTTCTTAGTGCCCTATTGCTGGCTGCTGTTAAAATGCAAAATAGATGATATCTAGATAATGCTCCAACAAAATAAATTTCATGTTATGTTGCACTGAAGAAATGGAAGCTCAGGAAATACATTTTACAAAGTGTTATATTCTCTCCTTACGACCTAGATAGAGTGAGACACCGGCAGGTCCCATTTAAAGCAGTGTAATTTGAGCCTGTCATGACTAACTTATTAGATCAGTTTCAAGGGGACTTAATCATGACTAATCTCTGCTGGACTGAAACTCTGATAGGAACAGCAAACAGTACTTACATTATATGGCAAAGTTCATTTCTCTCCTTTAGGCAGTGTCCTACTTCCCATTTCTTTTTGGTTGGAAATGTGGTTTTTACAAATTTTGAGCCCGCGTGAGTGTTTTTCACTCCACACCAGGGAGCATCTAAGCAGAGAATAGGTTTTTTTTTAAAAGAAGTGGTAGTTTTATAACGAATTTCAGAAACTTGAACTTACATTCCTGCCTGTCTCATTTCCTCCTTGTACACAGAGTATATATCTTTCACACGGCACTTTGGAAATAAATTAAAAATTCAGCTAAATATGACCAAACGACTAATGACAAGTAAAAAAAGGCATTTTCGCTCTCTATCAATGAATTAGCTATCTGGATAATCGTGTTAAGCTAACACTGCATTTGGCCTATGGTTTAGATGTACCATCTCAAGATTACAAGCCAAATATATCTCAGATGTAAGAGTTTTGAAAATGATAAATTAGTGAAAGCAAAGTAACTTACCTGTCTCTATCATTAACCTTTCACTGGGAATTGACTTCACCGTGTCTAGGTTGGCTTCAGTTTTCAGAGAACTGGAAATAATGTTAGATGTTTGTTAGATGAAAACGTATATCACTTCTTATTGTAGGGGAGCTCACAAAAAAGAAACTGCTCCCAAAATTCAATGAATAATTTTTGTTTTTGGAACCAGTATTGAGCATACTCCAACACTGTGTTTCTAATCCCATTTACATTAGACTGATCCCCCCCTCCCCAATTAAACACTGGGAGAGCAACAATGCCTGAAATTTAAGCCTGTGCACTCAAAAGTTGAATTCTGCTGCATCTCTGATTAAAACAGAAGTTCTAAGGCGTCTAAAACTAAATGCCACATAGTTTTATATCCTGTTCACCCTTTTTCATTTTCTGTATTTTGTAAGGTGGGGGTGCGATAGAAGTGGGCAACTTTGTGTTCAAAATTATTTCCAATCTTTTAGTGAACCAGAGGACCTCCCAAGCTCTTGACTGGATACCTTATCTGAGAATTACAGATAAAGGGTTCTTCTAAGCTAAGACTAGTATGTGTGACTGTAATTTAGAATGTTGCATATTTTTGACTATTATTTATTTTTATTCTTATTTATGAACGTAACATAATTGCAAGTTCTTTAGACAGTTAATCAAACAAGGATAGGCTATTAGCATCTTTTGTTCTCGTTTCCTGCCTCAAGCTTCAGAAATAAGGTCTTTGTATTTTTCATATCCCTGGCAAAACAAACTACATCTGGGTGGGCAACTACAGCAACTTTACTACCTATAGACTTCAACTCCCAGAATTCCTGAGCCAGTTGGCTCAGGAATTCTGGGAGTTGAAATCCACAGCTCGTAAAATTGCCATAGTTGCCCCTCTCTGTACTACGTGGTTAATGATCTGCCTTTTTATTTTTAAAAAATAAATAACTACCAAACTAAAAATCAATGCTTGAGGGAAGAGTTAATGTTTAAAATAACTTACCAACCATTAATCCCTATATAAAGATCAAGATCTATTAGAGCTGCTGCTTCTTCTTTGGTGCCATCAAAAGAGTGAACCTATAAAAAGAATTAGAAGCATACATCATAAGACTGAAGGTAAATGTTTGTTAATATGGGGTAATCCTCAACTTATCACCGTGACTGAGTCTGCTCATCACAATCATTGTGAAAGTCATAAATCGGGTCATCCCTGTAGCCAATCTGATCTTAATGACCTTTTTTGTGATAGCTTTTGAGTAAATCAATTGTTTGCGATGGGCTGATACTGTTGAAAACTGGAAATGCTGATTGTGTGACATGGGGTTGCTGCAAATGGTCATAAATGTGGGCCGGTTACTGATCACCTGAAATGCAGTCATGTGACTGCGCGGTGGGGAGGGGGAAGGGATAGCTATCGGAACTTCAGATCGTAAGTATCCCTGAGGAAGTCTGTCATAACTTTGGATGTCATTAAGGGAATGGTCATAAGTTGAGGACTACCTATACTCAGTCCTCATTTCTCTCAGTTCCCTCTAATTATTTTTGTTGCTCTTTCTGGATGTCATTTGGCAGCTGTGCATGCATGAAAAATGTGAGAAAATTTAGCAATTCCGCCTAGGAAGATGACATGGCTGCTCTCTCTTTCACAGCTGTGTCATTTTTTGTGCTACCCTACCAGGTGCAGGTATCCCAGTCTCTCTTAGTTCAACTTCTAAACATGGCTAGCAAGGCCTAAGGTTTGCCCAATGCATGGAAAGACACTGCCAAATTTAAAACAAAAAGATTCAGATCACAGAAATCCCAGTTCATAACAAACAAAGAAAAACGTGGCTCTGTGCTAGATCCAAACTTTTATTTCTTTCACTAGTTTTTTAGAAGAAAAGGTTTGGGCAAAGAATTGCAAACACAAAAGAGAAATGTTTAACTATTTGTAATACAAATATAGCAATAGACTTTAAATCACAAAAAAAAGGGTAATGTTGCACCTACCACTCCTCCCATACACCTCTCTCTATTTCGTCTCATAATATCTGCAAAAAAAAAAAGAGTTTGAGTTTAGAATCTCAGGAACGTTTCTTCCCTCAAAAGTACACATTTATTCTAATTTTCTAACCAAACTCACCTATGAATTCTGGGTGCGAATTCCTACAGTGCAAAAACATTGGCAATTTGGTTTGCTCAGCTAGATCAAACTGTTTTTCAAAATACCTGAAAGAAGAAAAAAATGACAAGCGACGAATCCCTAAAAAAATAATAATTCAGAAACAAAATAATAATTGACTTCAAATCATTTTAGAGAACCGGTGGTTGGGAATCACATCTGTTACCCTCGTCCAGACAGGAGTTCTAATAGTCCTGACCCAAATGCCCAAGAAAACAGCCAAATTACCTCTGAACCGTGAAAGGGTCTTAGTGGTGCCGTGATTTAACGCAAGTTTCCAAAATGCCATAGATGTGCAGAAAAACTCTTCACTTTCCAGATCTGTTTTGTGATCTCCCATCAAAGAGGCAAATATTTTAAACATGTTACCTATATTTGTAGACCAAGACATTCTACATCTTGCTAACCTGCTACAGGTAGTCCTCAGTTTACAACTTTTCATTTAGCCAACAAAGTTACAACAGAACTGAAAAAAGTGACAATCAGTTCTTGCAAACTTACAAGCTTCACAGGTGACAGAAGCCAGCTGGGAAGGTTGCAAATGGATTATGTGGCTCCAGGATGCTGTGACCATTGCAGGTTGCCAGGCGCCCAAGTTTTGATCACGTAATTGATTTACTTAACAACTGCAGGGCTTTACTTAACAACAGTGGCAAAAAGATCAATGAAAATTCTGGTCAGAATTGTGGTTGTTAAGTCAAAAACTTAATGTGAGGACAAGCGGGATGGTGAGCATCCCTTTATTGTGAGCACTGTGGTGTCTGATCAACTTTTGCCAAATGCTAAGCAAGGAATCCAGCAAGACAAATCGTAGGTTCCTCACATTAAAGTTTAGTACAGGGATCCCCAACTCCAGTCTGTGGACTGGCACTGTTCCACGGCATGCCAGCAACCAGTCCATGCAAACAAGCGAAGCTCCATCCTTGGGATGCAGGCAGCACGCGAAACCACGCCCCTTCTGGTCCACGGAAAAACTTCACGGAACCAGCCCCTGGTGCCCAAAAGGTTGGGGGGGCGCTGGTTTAGTGAAAATGTTCTTTTGCGTTACTTTTTTTGTTCCTAGAAACTATTTTTTCCATTTCATTTAACTTTTCTCGGCTGATTAATTCCTGAGCAAAGATACCCTCTTCGCTAGTAGTATCTTACTCTGTAGCAACAGCTTCCAGAAAGGGAGACACACACACACACACACACACAATGGCAATCTGCACTACGATGTGCAGATTGCCCTTTGGGCTTTCACATCCCACACAGAGATGCAACTTGAGGCCTGGTTCCCTCATCCTAGCCGTCCAATTTTATAACCATTTCTGTCTTATCCGAATGAGAAGCACAAGACCCAAAATGAAAATTTTGGCAGCTGTTACAAGCCCTAACACATGCTGTTGAGACGGATAATGGGATTCAGAAACAATCTCTTTTATGACTCTCAGTTTGAGGATAAACAGCAGAAGGGTTGACCTGCTCTTTACTTTTCCTTCCGCTTAAAATAGGCTGAAAATGTTTTACGGCTTCTAATGGACGTTCCTGAGAAAATCCCCATACAGTAGAACAGTACAACATAGAGCAGTGGTTCTCAAACTTTTTAATGCCACGACCCCCAACCGGTTGTAAGTCGAGGACTACTCAACCGGTCGTAAGCCGAGGACTACTCAACTGGTGCAGCACCGTTTGCAGAATGGGACTTTTGGCGGGCTCAGCAGGGCAGAGACAGCCTGGACAATTCCTATTGGCTTTTGAAAGCCAATAGAATTAGACTCTATTCAAGAGAGTCTATTCTATTGGCTTTCAAAAGCCAATAGAATAAAAGGGAGTAGCACAGCTAAGGAAAAGGGGGAAAAAATGGCAGACTGCGTTGTTTGGTGACCCCCGTAAAATGGTCATTCGACCCCAAATGGGGTCCCGACCCACAGGTTGAGAACCACTGTTTTACAGCTTCTAATGGACGTTCCTGAGAAAATCCTCATAGAACAGTACAACATAAGAGATTAAAACGACAGGATGGCCAATACAATGTATTTGAAACAATAAATACATTTCTTACTTGAGTTGGGTGTCTTTGGGGCAGAATTCTAATCTGTCAAAGTCTGTAAAGGGGAAAACAGACAGTGAAGAAGTTTTCAAAAGACTGCCAAGAACAAATAACGCACTTAAGCCAGGGAGTTAATACCTACCCAAGCCACACTCCCCAACTGCGACAACTTTCCCTTTGTTCTTCTCAGCTAAATCTTGCAACTCCTCTAAGTACCGGTCAGGATTGCCCTGATCAAATTCTCCGCAGCGCGTGGGATGGCAGCCAACAGTACTGTAAAACATTTCTGAAATCAGACCACATGAAAGTGTTGATATAAGTGATGCGGACTCTACGGAAACATAAAGGGAAAACGATCACCTGCTCTGTCTGTATGTGCAGATATTCCTCAACATATGACCACAATTTCTGTTGCTAAACAAGACATTTATTAAGTGAGTTCTGCCCCATTTTACAACTTTTCTTGCCTCAGTTAAGTGAGTCACTGCAGTTGTTAAGTTAGTAATATGGTTCTAATAATAATAATAAAGTTGGAAGGGACCTTGGAGGTCATCTAGTCCAACCCCCTGCTCAGGCAGGAAACCCTACACCATTTCGGACAAATGGCTGTCCAGTCTCTTCTTAAAAACTTCCAGTGTTGGAGCATTCACAGCTTCTAGAGGCAGGTTGTTCCACTGGTTAATTGTTCTAACTGTCAGGAAGTTTCTCCTTAGTTCTAGGTTGCTTCTCTCCTTGATTAGTTTCCATCTGTTGCTTCTTGTCGTGCCTTCAGACACTTTGGAAAATAGCATCACTCCTTCTTCTTTCTGACAGCCCCTGAGATATTGGAACTCAGCTATCATGCCCCCCCTCGTCCTTCTCTTCATTGAACTAGACATACCCAATTCTAGCAACTGTTCTTTATATGTTTTAGCCTCCTGTCCCCTGATCATCTTTGTTGCTCTTCTCTCTATTCTTTCTAGGGTCTCAACATCTTTTTTACATCGTGGTCACCAAAACTGGATGCAGTATTCCAAGTGTGGCCTTACCAAGGCACTGTAAAGTGGTGTTAATACTTCACGTGATCTAGGTTCTATCCCTCTGTTAATGCAGCCCAGCACTGTGTTGACCTTTGTAATTGTGAAGTGAATCTGGCTTCTGTGTTAAGTTTGCTTGTCAAAAAGTCGCAAAAGGGGATCACGTGATTCCTGGACATAAATACATGCCAGTTGCCAAGTGTCCGAATTTTAATCATGGGGATGCTGCATTGGTTGCAAGCGTGAAAACCAGTCACAAGTCACTTTTTTCCGTGTCGTTTTAACTTTGAATGGTCACTAAACAAATGGTTGTAAGTCAGGGGCTACCTGTAGTTTCCATCTCCAGACTCTCCTCCTTGCACTTGTTTTCATTATGTGACCACTGATCCTCCACATATTGTTTTCCCAGTTATGGTAAGATAAGCAACTTCTCTAATTTACAGGTGCAGGAAAATTTTCACTTTCCTTTTAAGCAAATACAGTGTGGGATAATTCAAGCATCCCACTTAAGGGTGGTGGTACATGATGCAAGGAAAGAAATTACCATTGGTTTGGGCCAGCTGCGAGGCGCCTTTACTATCTTGCAAACTTCCACCTGTGATGATGAGCTGAAATGAAGAAAAACATGTAATTGCTAATTTCCCAACACCAAGTTTAAAATGCTTTGGGGGGCATAAATTGAGAGTCAACATCAAGTCAGCAAGGACAAACTGACAGTTCAGACAATAAAAAGGAACACATTGAAAAATATTTAATGCCACAGTTACCTTTTGAACCCCAGTTTTGATTGCTCTGTCTATTACATCCAAGAAATCATCTGCAAATATATACACGTATATATAAATATATTAAATTTAAATCCATTTTTAAAAAGCACAGTTATGATCAAACTGTTCACAATTTCTATTTCCTGGGAGCTTTTTGTGTTCAAAGCTTCGTAACAGTAAACATTGCAATCATCTTCTGCACAAAAGTAGTATTCCACACTTTTCAACTCTTTGACAACAAAAATATTGCTGTGTACAAATGGAATACATGTAGAGCACTGATATAATTTCCAACAGAACCTCAGCCATCTTCAAATTGATGGGATCAGAGCTAGCAGTGACTGATGAGGATTTAGAACAATATTTTAAATAACAAGCAACTCCAGCTTCCTCCATTGACTTATTGAGAGCCCCCTGGGAAGACCACAAATTGTGATCACATGACGCTGGGGTGTTGCAACTGTTGTAAATGCAGATAGTCCTCGACTTACAATGGTTTGTTTAGTGACCGTTTGAAGTTACAGTGGGACTGAAAAAAGTGACTTATGACCATTTTTCACACTTATGACCGTTGTAGCATCCCCAGGATCATGTGATTTACATTCAGATGCTTGACAACTGACTCACATTTATGACAGCTGCAGTGTCCCAGAGTCATGTCCTCTTCTTCTGACAAGCAAAATCAATGGGGAAGCCAGATTCACTTAACAATAAACCATGTAAAACGGGGCAAAACTCACTTAACAAATTTCTCACTTAACAAGATAAATTTTGGGCTTAATTGTCATAAGATGAGGACTACCTGTACACAAGTTGGTTGCCAAGCACCAGATTTTGATAATGTGACTGTGGGGATACTGCAATGGTTCTAAATGTGATGGCTGATCATAAGGCACCTTTTTCAGTGCATCGTAACTTCAAACAGTTGTTAAACAAACGGTCGTAAATTAAGAATTGCCTGTATTTATCTTCCCATGCTCAAAAATTCAGAACAACATTGACCTTAGACATGAAACAGAAATTCTTGCTACTCGAGAGAAGGTAGATCAAAGTAGAGAGAAATTACACTGACAATAAAGGTACATTTTGGTCAAGGCTGTACTTTTCCTAGCCGCACCACATGGATTTGACAGCTGGATCACGAGAGAAGCCGAACAAAGAAAAACTGATGGTTCTAAATAATGGCATATACCACAAAAATAATTGTGAATACCTAGAACTTTATGATTTAATTCAGGAGCCTCCAACCTTCAAAGATTTAGTTAAGGGTTGTCCAACCTTCAATCAGAACTTCAATCATTCAGTTCAGAGGTGTCCAACCCTGGCAACTTTAAGACTTGTGGACTTCAACTCTCCACATGTTGATACTTGATGAAGTATAACCAGACTGTTCTCTGGAGGCACTATTACAACAGGTAACGCTTAAATATTTTGGACACATAGTCAGTGGAGAAGACCATAAAACTTGGGAAAAATGGAAAACAGTTGAAAAAGAGACTGATAGTAAAGCAAGTGGCTTTTCTTCCGTAATCAATAAACCTCAAAGAAAATACATGGAGGCCTCCATCTTAGAGGTTTCTTTCCTCTTCAGGATCCAGAGAAAATACAGCACAAAAAGGTCTACTTATAGTTATTATGCATCTATATATCCCAACATCAGGTGTTGGGAATAAACCAATGAAAAGCTTTACCTTTATGTTTTTGGGTACCCCTGTATATACCTCTGAACATAGGATCGGTTAAGTTAACACCAATATCTAGTTAAAAGAAAAATCAATAATTAGTTGGTAATCGGGCTGAGTGCAGGGATATAATTTTGCTCCCTGCAGCAAATGTAATCTTTGCTTTTCAGCATCTTCTCAAAGTATCCATCAACGCTGACCAAAGAGACCCTTAATTAAAACCCTCTTGGCTCCTTTCCTAGGATGCCCTTCAACAGGTCCAGAAAAAAAGTCAAAGGTTGCATTCCCACAACAAGCTAACCTCGGTTAAAGCTAATTTTGTGTCTCTGTGTATGTATATCAGCATTTTATGTGCTGACAGATGTGGCTCTAGGAGTTGTGCCAATCCAGAACAAGCATTTCCAGCAGATCGTGTGAAGACAGCCCTAAAGATCCAAGGGCAGCGAGCTCCGAGGGTTTCCCTCCAGCTCCTCTAAATTGCTATTTTTCCCAGGAGGAGCTGCCGGAGCTCGCGGGACGCGCGTGCCATTCCCACGGCCACCCAACCCCGCATTCTGCCCGAGGACGCCCAGACGCCGCGCCGTCCCCGCGTTGCCGGGGCAACCGCCCTCACCAATGAATTTGAAGCGGCTCATGACGACAGCGGCAGAGCTCCACGCGCACGGTCCTCGCTTGCTCCAAAGAGGCAGAGGAAGAGGAGTCGTTACGCGCCCACCCCTTACTTCCGGTTGCCTTATGACCGCGGCTGTTGCTCGGGAGGAAGCGGAACGTCCGGAAACAAAACACGCGTCCCAGGGAAGAGGAAGTGCTCGCCTTCTGGTGCTCGGCGGCGTTCTTGCCACCAGGATTCCAGCGAGTTGGTTTTGCACGGAGCACCGAGCCTCAGTGCAAAAGCCAAGTCTGAAAATAGCTATCCACGTCAAGTCCGTCTCGTTTCATAACAGCAAACTCCCCAGCGCCATCTTCCTCCTGGCCTTCTGCATGGGCCGCTCGGTTTCTGTTGGCCCGCGTCTGTGTCTGTGTACAACCCTACCCTAATATTATATTATGTATTATATGTATATAATATATATAAAATTCTGGTCTTGCAGACACACGTCAAGCCACACAAAATGCATTCACAAAAAATGAAACAAAATTACACCACATTGCAATTCAATACAATTTACTGTAAATTTGCTTTGCTGCCTGAGGAATTCTGGGAGTTGAAGTCCACAAGTCTTAAACTTGCCAAGGTTGGAAACCACTGCTGTACTGTAGTATACTAATACTATATTATAAATATACTATAGATGTATTAGATTTAAATATAATATTAATCTTCTGGCAGTTAAATATTCTACCCCCGCTTGACTCTCTTCCTTCATAGTCCCTTCCAACTCTGTGATTCTCTAAGGGTCTCCTGCTTGAGAATGGGGTTGGACTAGATGCCCTCTATGGTTCCTTCTGTTATACTATGATCCTGTAAGAGCGTCCTGCCTGAGCACGGCATTGGACTAGATGACCTCTGTGGTCCCTTCCAACTCTGTGATTCTATGATTCCGTAAGGGTTTCCTGTTTGAGCAGGGGGCTGGACTAGGTGTCCTCCAAGGTACCTTCCATTATTCTATGGTTTTCTAAGGGTCTCCTGCTTGATCAGGGGGTTGGGCTAGATGTCCTCCAAGGTCCCTTCCAACTCTGTGATACTGTGATTCTCCTAATGCCGGCAGAGAGGCCCCTCTAATTGTTATCTCCATGTGTTCATATCAAGCAGTTAAGTGTTTCTCAACCTTGACAATTTTAAGGCATGTGGACTTCAACTCCCAGAATTCCACAGCCAGCATTGCTGGCTGGGGAATTCTGGAAGTTGAAGTCCATATGCCTTAAAATTGTCAAGGTTGAGAAACATTGATTTAACGTCATATCCTCCCCAGGAGGACGAGGAGGAAGGAAGATTACTCTTAGAGATAGGAAACTAAGAATTATAAACCGTAAAAACCGTTATAGATTCCCGAGGGTTATAAAGAGCCCCTCCCCCTTCTCTCACAGCCTTCCGTCGGACTTATTCCGTATCGAGCCCGTGACGGAGGCTTCAGTGGCGGCGTGTCACTCTACTCTTTCTCTCTCTAGAGGCCGGACGCCCTCGCGCTCCCGTCAGCCCCTGCGGCGCTATTCCTACACACACACCCCCCCCGCGTTCCGAGCCTGAAAGTCGACTGGGGCGCCGCCAAGATGGCGGGCTACCTATCGCATCGGCAGAAGGTGCTGCGGCTCTACAAGCGAGCCATGCGGCACCTCGAGTCCTGGTGTATATATCGGTGAGTCGCCGACCTTCCGCCCCGGATGGCAGCCCGCACGAGCCTCGCTGCCTCCTGATTTGCGGGAGGACACCCATCCTCATCATCCCCGACCCTCGCTGACCCCGGTGTGTCTGGGCGTTGTAGTCTTAACGCGGGGACGATTTCCAACCTCTGAAGAGCGTTTTCTCTCCCCCTCTCTCTTACTGTACCGGCGCCTCTGCGCTTTTTTCTCCCTTGCGCTTTTCTTGCGCGGATCCTAAGCCGAGTTAATCCGCGCGTCTTTTTTTTCCCCCACGACAGCTCTGGGTTCAGAAGGGCAGAAAGGCTGCGGGGCCGGGATCAGGCATCCCCGCGGGCTAAGAAGCCGTGGTTGGGATAGCCCTGCTTTGCTGAATCCAGCAGATTTGCCCAGATTAGGAGGTAGGGAGTGAACTGGTTGGGAAATACATCTCATTCAGGAAATACATCTTGGTAAGTGAGTGGCAGTCAAAAAATAATAATGGCTTGTAATCCTCACTGGGATATTGGTAAAAAATACTGTCAGATGAGCCAGTTTTGTTTATTAAGCAAGGTTTAAATAGGCACACTTGCATATTGTGTTTGCTTCTTCTTGTTGGGCTCAACATATTAGTATGCAAAAAAATATATTGAAGTAGGCAAATTAGGATGATGGGATGAGGTAGGAGCTTGTATTTTTTTTCCTGGGAAGAAAAGCAAAAGAATTTAGCTTCAGAAATAAGTACTGTACTATATAGCCCTTTCAGCCCTACATAAAATTTATTTATTAAAACTTATATGCCGCTCATCTCACCAAAGGCGACTCTGATCCCCGGTGACAAAGTTCCACTTATTTAGGAGGGAAAAAAAACCCTACAATCAGATATATAATCCATTTAAAATGTAATATGGTTGTTTACAGCTGAGTATAAATCATGTAACTTGATTCACTATAGCAGAGGTCCCCAACCCTCTGTGGACTGGTACGGGGCTGCGGCATGCCAGCAACCAGTCCGCACAAACAAGCGAAGCCCGATCTGTGGGATGCAGGCAGCACACAAAACTACACACATTCCGGTCCTTGGAAAAACCTTTCTCCATGGAACCTTTCTCCCTGGTGCCCAAAAGATTGGGGACCTCTGCACTTATAGTACAATATTTGGCTATTAGGGCCCTCTAGTGGCCATTCTACATACTTTTTTTGCTTACAAGTTTTTAAGGAGTGTATTCCAGGATCCAGTCTGGGTCGGTCAACAGGATCAGAGGTTTTTGTCTTCCAAGCTTTTGGACTCGTGCTGGGAGCCCATCTTCAGCGAATGAGCCCAAAAGCTAGGAAGACAAAAACCTCTGGTCCTGGTGTGACCGACCCAGATTGGATCCAGCAACATTATCCCGGGACACGTATATTCGCCTTCATTCAGGACTGTGTTCTTATTATATTTTTAATCCCACTTTTATTTATGCTTTCACCTGCTATTTTTCCTACAAGAACAACCCTCTGAGATGTGTTGGGCTTGAGTGGCTGGCCCAAAGTTATACAGCCAGCTTTGAAGAAGTCAGTGGCAAACCTGCTCTTGACATGATAGCAGTCTTCCAATACTCGAAGGGGCGTCACAGGGAAGAAGGGGGTCAATTTGTTCTCCAAAACAGCGGGGGGGGGGCAGGACAAGAAGTGGAAGCTCAACAGAGGGAAAGCCAACCTAGAAACAAGAAGGAATTTCCTGGCAGTGAGAACTCTTTAAGTAATGAAACCATTAAGAAGTGTTTCTTGGGACTTGCGGGTGCAGCATTGCTGGAGGTTTCTGAGAAAATATTGCACAATCATTTGTCTGAAATGATATGAGGACCCCTGCCTTGGGTAGGTCATTGGATTAGAAGACCTCCAGGGTTCCTTCCAGCCTTATAATTCTTGACAGGAAAACTGAGCAGGTGTGCCCTTATCATCATCAGATGTCGAATCAATGAATGAAATTCCCCATTCATTAAATAAAATATGAAGTATTTTTGTCCGTTCAAAAGATAGTTATGGTTTATTCTTTCTTGGAATAAATACTATCTTTTAATATTCTCAGGGATAAATTTAGGTACCATGCCTGTCTGCTGAGAGCAAGGTTTGATGAGCATAAGGACGAAAAAGACATGATTAAAGCAACCAAGCTGTTGATGGCCGCTGAAGAAGAATTTTGGGAAAGGCAACATCCTCAGCCGTACCTCTTTCCCGACTCTCCAGGTGGCACAAGCTATGAGAGATACGACTGCTTTAAGGTCAGGAGGTGACATGGCAGGCATTACACATAATCAGTTCCTCCACGTGTTGCAAAATATTGGCATTCTTAATCCCCAGAGTTTTCAGTTAACTTTCATTAGTAAGTAGGAGATTCCTCATGCAAAATTATTCTCTGGTTCTGAGGAAGAATCCATGAATGAAGGCCACAGGGAAGTTGTTCAGGTCTCAACCTCAATGAATGTCAGTGGCCCAGCCTCCATCTGTGTTGGCAAGATCCTAAAGACACGGGAGAAAGCTCAGGGGCAGGGCACACTTTGCCTGGTGGAGCTCTTCTGCTTGACCTCCAGTTTGAAGAGAGACCTAATAGCAGGGGATATGAAGGAACCGAAGCTTCTAGAAAGTTGCTGCCAAACTGCCGAAGCTGGAGAAGACCACAAGACAGTTCTGTATAGGGCAGTGTTTCATGTTTGCAGCCAGTGCTTTAGATGTCCAGAGGCTGTTTGAGCCACACAAAGTGATCTGGAGATAGCACATTCTCCACATCGCTGGACAGCTGTTTTATGCACTGAATAGTTGCTAAGACAAGGATCTAATTGTCTGAGACATTCGGCTTCTAGGCTTGAGAATCACCCTGCCATTAAAATGTGCCTTCTACTTCTAAAATATCTGTAGCAGTACCAAGTTTGTGGAACAGCCTTCCTGTGAGATAAGGCTGGATCAACCCCTTTGGCTGGTGTTTCTGGAACTTTTGAAGATAAAACTGTTCCAGGAGCCCTGACTGATTCCTACCTTAGCTTTGATTTTGATTGTTTTACTATTGCATTATTATGTTGCCAGTTTTCTTTTCAAACCATAGATGTATATATTTTTTTATCCCTGTTTGATACTACATAGAAATATGCTGCCTAAGTAAATACCCAAAATTAGAGGGAAAAAGCATTATGAGCATCGAAATACTTATTGCTCTTATCTTAGCCTGCAGGTGGGAATAACTTTTTCTTCTAAAATGCCCTGATTCTTAAAGTTGCTAAACTTGCCATACTAAGAGAATCCAGTAGTTTTCTGGAACAAGATAATCCAGTAGTTTTCTAGAACTAAGACTTCCAATGCAGGAAATAGTATCTTTGGAGTCTTATCGTTTTGGTTTTAAACAGTGTTTCTCAACCTCAGCAATTTTTTAAGATGTATGGACTTCAACTCCCAGAATTCTTCAGCCAGCATTTTGGCTGAAAAGTTCTGGGAGTTGAAATCCACACATCTTAAAGTTGCCGAGGTTGACAAACATTGGTTTAAGCAGACCAGCAACCACAGTCTAATCATTATTAGAAGGAGAATGTACAAAATACATCTACATAAAAGAGCAAGAAGAAGAAGAAGGCTATTATTCCTTGAAAGATGCAGTGGATAACCTTTTTTTGTTATGCTCCCGCCTTGTAGTCACCTGAATGGATCCTAGAAATGTGGCATCCATCAGAGAAAGCGATGTACCCAGATTACTTTGCTAAGAGAGAACAATGGAAGAAGCTGCGCCTGGAAAGTTGGGACAAGGAGGTTGGTTATCGGACTATATTTTACAATTACTTTTCCATGAAATAATTTTGAAGCAAGTCACAAAGTGGAGTTTGTTGGGTGATACCTTGGAATGCAGGTCTTAAAATGCACCCTCATGGACCATCACCTACTGTTCTGGGTCCTTTAATCCTTGGGGTTGTGAGGGAGCCAGAAGTGTTAATTCTTTTTTAGAGTGGTTTAAGAGTAAAATGAGTGCCTTAGAGAGGAGAAAGGCCTTATCAAAAGCCTCACCAAACTGGTTCTGTTTACTAAGGGAGCTTCAGATTCAGCATGCTATATATACTTTCTTTCTCCTTCCTTCCTTCCTTCCTTCCTTCCTTCCTTCCTTCCTTCCTTCCTTCCTTCCTTCCTTCCTTCCTTCCTTCCTTCCTTCCTTCCTTCTTCTCTTCCTTCCTTCCTTCTTCCCTTCCTTCCTTCCTTCCTTCCTCCCTCCCTCCTTCCCTCCCTCCTTGCCCGCCCTTCCTTCCTTCCTTCCTTCCTTCCTTCCTTCCTTCCTTCCTTCCCGATTTTCACTAGGATCGTGTGGCTGCTTGCAAGTTTAGAAAATGATTATGGCTTCTTTGGGAAAGTGCCAACATGATTAAATGCTCACATCTTCTCCGAGGCATGATTTTGCCTACAGTACTGAAGCACACGAGATCCCTAAAATTATCAAATACCTAAGTTCACATCAAAGTGAACTTGATTAGTTGAGCTGGTTTAGCATTCGATGCATTAATTCTGCCTCTGTCCATTTGGAGTGATCTCCCAATTTTCTAACAGCACTATTCTTTTCTATTCATCCCTGAATTTCCAAAGAGGCATTTAAATGGATGGAGGGGAGGGGACTTTTTATAGCAATATTACTATATATTTTTTTAGATCTGTTGCTGGCTGGAATTGGAAATGAGCTTTTAGTCAAAACACTTCCAAGTGTCTTCAGAGAGATTGTTTCCAGATTATAGTGACATTGTTCCCATTGGTGGTTTTTAAAAACTGGATTCAGGGTGCATTAAGTTCGTATTAAGGCTTTTCATGCTTGAAAGGGATGATTTGCCTTTAAAAATGCTTCCATTGAAGTTTCTCCCCCCTGCAGCTATCTTACAAAACAACACACACAGTACTTCCAAGAAATTAAGAAAATCCTGTGGATGTGTTGCTGGAAGCTTCTTTTAATTACAGGTAGTCCTGAACTTACGGCCACAATTGGAGCTCAAAGTTTCTATTGCTAAGCAGTTGCTAAGTGGGTTTTTGCTCCATTTTACAGCCTTTCTTGTCACTATTGTAATTGTTAAATTAGCAGACTCGTGAATCTGGCCTCCCCATTGGCTTTGCTTGTCAGAAGATCACAGAAGGTGATCACGTGACCCCGGGACATTGCAACGGTCATAAATATGAGCCAGTTGCCAAGCGTGTGAATTTCGATCATGTGACTGTGGGGACACTGCTTAACGGTTGTGTGAAAAATAGTAATAGGTCATTCTTTTCCGGGCCATTGTAACTTCGAACGGTCACTAAATGAATGGCTGTAAGTTGAGGACTACCTCTATCAGAAGTGTTTGAAGTGGTCTGAAAGGCACACAGGTGCACACAGATGCCTTGTTGAGACAAAACACACACACACAGAGACACAAATCTCTGCCTCATCACCACCTCACGGCTGAGGGTTTCCTTGTTGGATAGAATGTCATGCATTAGTTATACAGGTAGTCCTCAACTTACCACCACAGTTGAGCCCAAAATTAGTTTCTAAGCAAGACAGTTAAGTGAGTTTTGCCCCATTTTGCGACTTTTCTTGCCACAGTGAAGTGAATCACTGCAGTTGTTAAGTTAGTAACTCGGTTATGAAGTGAAGTTGGCTTCTCCGTTGACGTTGCTTGCCAGGTCACAACAGGTGATCACCTGAACTCGGGACACTGCAACTTTCATAAACATGAGTCATTTGCCAATTCTCTGACTTTGGATTATGTGACCATGGGGATGCTGCAATGCTTGTGTGAAACATGGTCACGGGTTGCTTTTTTCAATGGTGTTGTAACTTTGAACGGTCACTAAATGAACTGTTGTAAATAGAGGACTGCCTGAAATGTGGAAAGACGTGTCCTAAATGTAAGAATTTCCCCCTCAAGTGTATTAAAAATGTTGCCGGTCCTGAGTGGTAGCTAAGCATGTTTCTCATTGACAGGTTCAGCAGCTTCAGGAAGAAACCCCACCAGGAGGTCCCACCACAGAAGCTCTCCCTCCAGCACGTAAAGAGGGACATCTGCCTCCTCTCTGGTGGCAATACGTCACTAAACCTCGCAGGTTCCCAGTGTAAAAGCTCCTTTCTGAAATGGCTGTGTAGTCCCACGGAACGGTCTGTGAGCTTTCTGCAGCCGGTCGGTTGCTTTACTGTACTAGCCAACCCAATAAAGTCTAATATAAAACCAAACTGTGAACCTGCCTGCCTAGCCATTACTACGTAGATTATCTTAGCAGTCTTTTTCCGACGAGCAAGACATGCAGCGTCGGTTAAGGTAAGTCACAGGATACTTCACTTACAGGCATGTCAGACCCATGGCCCACGGGCCGCATCCAGCCCACGCAGGCCACACCACCCCAGCACCGCAAAGGTGAAAAACCCATGTCACCATATGGCCCGCGATGCGAGCGGGCTTGACACCCCTCCTGCACAACGTTGGCGTAGAGAGGATGTAGTTAACAAAAGGAATCCATTATGTAATCCCCCCCCCCTCTGTACGCGTGTGTGTTTGTGTTTATATGCATGAAAGAGAGAAGGCTCTTATCCTTTTCCCATTGAAGTTGGAGTACATAGAGTAGAGCTTGGAAAAGCTGGAATCGCCTTGGGTCCCCAACCCCGCCAGTCCGTGGATCGGCACCGGTCCACGGCATGACAGAAACTGGGCCACGCAAATAAGTGAAGCCTTATTCGCAGGATGCAGGCAGTATGTGAAACCACGGCCCCTCCAGTCCACAGAAAAACCTCTCTCCATGGAACTAGTTCCTGGTGCCCAAAAGATTGAGGGCCACCGCCTTGGATCACTGATCCCAACTGTCAGTTCTTATTCCAAATAGAAGCACTCTGTATTCTCAGTGTTAACTGCTCCCTGGCCAGATTCTGTCTGCATTTGTCTTATAGCAGAATACAAAGATGCAGCCTTCTAATGCTTCTAACATAGTAGTCTAATAGTAATAACTTGGTCAGAGTTTTGAGGATAACAGTTAAGATGCTAAGATACTGCTGGTAAAAAATGGTTTACATGCTAAATAAGGATTAACCTGTTGAAAATCATATTTCCTGCGGCACAGGTAATGAGCTCTGGATTAGCCCGATTAAAAGTCGCTAGGCTTTTTTGGAGGGCTAGAGGGGTCCTTGAGTACCTGTGGAGTCATCACTGATCCTTAACTGAGAGCTCAAAGGCAGCAGGAAGTCACAGGAGCTGAGCTTTCCGAATTATGAACAATGAGCTTTGCAGAAGTTGCTTTAAGGATGAACAAATGGCAAATGCCTTACTTGCCAGAGGTTGTCTTAATGTTTTCCACATGTTTATTAAAACATTAGGAGCCTCATCCTGGAAATGAAGTGGATACAGCTCAGCCTCTGAACCTTTCTGAACGATCAGTTCCTTGCAAAGTAATTTTCTTCAGTGCAGGGAGTCAACTTACGACCACAACTGAGCCCATTTCTGTTGTGAAGGGAAACATTTAAGTGAATTTTGCCCCATTTTGCATTAACAGGGAAGAATCAAGCTCACGTGAAGTATTAATACCATTTTACAATGCCTTGGTAAGGCCACACTTGGAATACTGCATCCAGTTTTGGTGACCACGATGTAAAAAAGATGTTGAGACTCTAGAAAGAGTACAGAGAAGAGCAACAAAGATGATTAGAGGTCTGGAGGCTAAAACATATAAGGAACGGTTGCTGGAATTGGGTATGTCTAGTTTAATGAAGAGAAGGATGAGGGGGGACATGAAAGCAGTGCTCCAATATCTCGGGGGCTGCCACAAAGAAGAGGGAGTCAAGCTATTCTCCAAAGCGCCTGAAGGCAGGACAAGAAGTGACGGATGGAAACTAACCAGAGAAGCAACCTAGAACTAAGGAGAAACTTCCTGACAGAACAATTAATCTGTGGAACAACTTGCCTCCAGAAGTTGTGAATGCTCCAACACTGGAAGTTTTTAAGAAGAAACTGGACAGCCATTTGTCTGTATAGGGTTTCCTGCCTGAGCAGGGGGTTGGACTAGATGACCTCCAAGATCCCTTCCAGCTTTATTATTATGACCTTTCTTGCCACAGTTGTTAAGTGCATCACTGCAGTTGAGTTAGTAGCCTGGTTGTTAAGTGAATCTAGCTTCCCAGTTGACCTTGCATGTCAAAAGGTTGCCAAGGGGGAGGCACATGTTCCTGGGGCATTGCAACCATTATAACTTGCCAAGCATCCAAATTTTGATCATATGACCATGGGGATACTGCAATAGTTGCAAGTGTGGAAAACGATCACAAATCAACATTTTTCAGTGCTGTTGTTAACTTTGATCGGTCACTAAATGAACTATTGTAAGTTGAGGACTGCCTGTAATCTGGCTGTGAAAGCAAAGCCACTTATAGTTGATATTGTGAGCAACCTCCTCTTGAGATAGGGGTAAATTAAAAGGGGGCAGGGCGTACAACTCTGGGGCAAGTTTCTTTGCTTCCTCAGTCACTTTATCAGAAAAACTAGCAAGCTGAGGGATAGGAAGTGTGATTCACAAAGATGCCCTTTGCAACTTAAAACGCCACGGAGTTGGCTTGGCAGCTTTGGGTTAAACATTTAACTTCTATCCATTCCAGCCCATTCCCCTAAATCAGGGGTAGGCAACCTTGGCTCTTTTATGACTCGTGGACTTCAACTCCCAGAATTCCCGAGCCAGCCATGCTGAGGGGAAAGGGAGAGGTTTCCAAGCTGAGCCATGCCGGGTCAGGAATTCTGGGAGTTGAAGTCCACGAGTCAGAAAGCAGCCTAGGCCTAAAAGACTTGTGGACTTCAACTCCCAGAATTCCTGAGCCAGCCATGCTGAGGGGAAAGGGAGAGGTTTCCAAGCTGAGCCGTGCTGGCTCAGGAATTCTGGGAGTTGAAGTCCACGAGTCATAAAAGAGCCAAGGTTGCCTACCCCTGCCCTAAATTTATAGGATCAGACACTACAGAACATTTGGAGGGCATAACATGGAGAAGATTGCCTGGCACAGCGATAATTAAAGGGGACCAAAAAGATCTTGCACGATTTCTTGGATTACACAAAAGACACAAACCACTCCAGAAGCAGGTTTAATCAGCAGGTCTTTATTTGTAATATAGGCTTGAAGCATTCATTACAAGGTAGAAGGGAAGCACAGTTAACAGCTATTTTTATTTTTAGCAGTTCGGAACGAAAACACTGCATGGGGAAAGAGAGGTCAACTCTCGGTACAAACTAGCAACTAAACCACAAGAACTTACCATTAGAAACATTTTACATTGTGACGCTGCTGTTACAATAGGCAAGGAACACAAAAAAAGATAAAAGGAAAAGAAACCTCAAAAAACAAACCAACAGAAACTATTCAAAGTGGTTTGCCACAGGTTAACATTGAATTTTGGCAATATTATTATTACTATTATTATTTTAACTGAGATTTAATTCTGGTATTGAAAGGAAGGAGGCTGCACTTTCAAATACAGCTTCATCCAAAATGTTTTCTAAACGTGCTTTTTCAAAAAAAAAAAAAAAAAAGTATCCCCCGCGTGAGCTTCACGGAAAGCAATGGGGGTTAATGCAAGGGCATACCTGAGCCCCTAAACAGAAATACCTTTTTTAAAAAAGGAGAAAAAAGCTTAGAAAAATCAGCTTGTCAGCCTGCACCCTTTTTGTCCATTTTTCTTCCCTCTTTCAAGCGGATAAGAAAAATGAAATCTCGGAGCATCATTTGCAGAGAGCATCTGCTCATTTTCAGGACAAGTGGGCTAGTTTGACAGCACTGTTTTATTTTTATTTTTTTCTGAAGGAAGAAAAAGCTTATTATTTTGGATCATGCCTTTTTTTTTTTAACTTTTCGCTTCCGACGCCCTAATGAAAAAGTGTTAAGCAACCACAGCTGTGTAAATGTATATAGAACACAGTGACTATAAACAGGATTACGATACATCTCACATCCAATGCAGTTATGTATTTAAAGCATAAGAAGTTTACGTAGGCAAGATGGCAGCCAATACGAATCTCCCGAGTGTCCATGGCAGAGTAGATTGTGTGTGCACGCTCACAACCCAGCTCCTTCCGCGATGAGTGGTGCATCACTGCAACCACAAACACACCCCTCTGAAGTCAAGAATTCTGCTAGCATTGCCCATGTAGAAATAAGGCAGACGGTATCCAGTTAGACTGCAGAATGCTTTTAAAAAACAGAAAACCACAAAACTTAAACACCGGGGTGGGGTGGGATGCCTGAGTTATGCACATTTCTACTGACCCCATGAAACAGAAAATGCCACGGCAATGTCCATGTTAAGAAAAAAAATCTTATTATAAATTTATCAACAGTGCTCCCCCCTCCCCAATTACTGTGGGGGGAAAAAAAGAATAAAAAGGAACCAGTTGTGAATGCCCCTCCCACTGTAATAAATAAAAGCTAAAGAGTGTTCCGGTCCCTTCCCAATCCCCAAATTTTTGTTTAGGAAAAACCAACCCATACTGCTGTTTCGGAAAAACAGCCCCCCTTAAAAGTAACATTTGCAGTTTTACTGGAGTTCCCAGTTAGTTGCCCATCCATCTATGAGTTGTTTTTGTTAAAAGTACTGGGGAAGGTTTTCCACTTATTTGGCTACCCAGCCTGCTGGGCACAGCCAGTAAAAGGTATAAAGTTATAATTAAGAGCTCCCTGGTTTTCTTTTAAATTTTTTGCTCTTTATTTTTTATTGTATCAACCTAGACACCCTTCTGCCTTCACAGTGTCTTTATGTTGTGTTCTGTTTACTTCTTTTAAGGAACACAATGTGAAGAGAGGAATGCAAAGTTTAAGCCTGTTGCCAAGATGGTACAAAACTGATAACGAGGTTTCGTGATGACCGGAAATTAAAGCATACCGCAGAAATCTTAACATGGTCCTTTTCATAGGGCCAACACAGGAAAAACACCTAGCAGGCAGTACCCAAAACTCTTTGAAACACCTTACTTAAATGAACACTGTAATTCGTTATGGCTTATTTGGACGCATTTACAATGAAACTACCTGCTAGGCTACATTTTGTGCAACAAATTAAGCCCCTCCCGTCCTAATCCCTAAAAATTAACCAAATACAAGCCGTTCTCTCTCTTTCTCTCTTCCATTATATATTGCTTTAATCAGCTTCCGTTTCCTGCTTTTGCGGCAGGGGAACAGTTCACCGTATTCCAGTGAGGAGTTGTGTTCTTGCTAGGAACT